CATACACCAAATATAGTAGGCCTATTGATTATAGTATCTGAGATATGGACTTGACCACGAAAACTTAACCTTAAAATTGAGAATGGAAATGGGGAATGTGTCAAAGAGACAACAACCCGACCATAGAGCAGACAACAGCCGAATGCCACCAATGGGTCTTCAATGAAGCGAGAAACTCCCGCACCCGGAGGCGTCCTTCGGCTGGCTAATAAAACAAATATGTATACTAGTTCAGTGATAATGGACGTCATACTAAACTCCAAATTATACACAAGAAACTAAAATTAATAATGATACAAGACTAACAAAGGCCAGAGGCTCCTGACTTGGGACAGGCGCAAAAATGCGGCGGGGTTAAACATGTTTTTTTGAGATCTCAACACTCCCCCTATACCTCTAGCCAATGTAGAAAAAAACAAACGCACAACAGTACGCACAGTAAAACTCAGTTTAAGAGAAGTCCGAGTCCGATGTCAGAATTTGTTCACTGATCCATGAAATGAGGTCGAGGTCAAGTGAAAACTGTCTGACAGGCATGAAGACCTTGCAAGGTACGCACATACCAAATATAGTTATCCTATTACTCATAATAAGAGAGAAATTAACATTACAAAAAATCTTAATTTTTTTTCAAGTAGTCACTGAACCATGAAAATGAGGTCAAGGACAATGGAATTATGACATACGGAAACTTCATATCATAAGGCATCTATATACAAAGTATGAAGCATCCAGGTCTTCTTCCTTCTGAAATATTAAGTTTTTAAGAAGTTAGTTAAGGCCGCCGCCGCCGGATCACTATCCCTATGTCGAGCTTTCTGCGACAAAAGTCGCAGGCTCGACAAAAATCACTATGATCAAACACAAAATTCTCTAAAACTGACACTATCAAGATGCTACATTTCTTGATACGTTTGGAGGACATTTTTGTCAACAAACAATCGGCATTCCTATGGTAACCAACTGGGCTCCTCTTCTTTCCGACTTGGTCGTTTAATCATACAGGAACTTCATAGGAAGAAAGAAAATGTTAGCAGTATCCTTTAACTTCACTTTCCGCTATATAAATGATATCATCTCACTAAATAATTCAAAGTTTGGTGACTATGTTGAACGCATCTATCTCATCGAACTTGAGATAAAGGATCAAGCAGATACAATAAGTCTGCCTCATATCTTGACTTACATCTAGACATTGACAATGAGGGTTGGTTGAAAACAAAACTTTACGACAATTGTTTTTATTACGTATACAATCCCGTCCCCTTTTCCCCGAATGTGACCTACCGAATAATACTTATCACCGGGTTTGTACTAACATAAGCAACACGACTGGTGCCACATGTGGAGCAGGATCTGCTTACCCTTCCGGAGCACCTGAGATCACCCCCAGTTTTTGGTGGGGTTCGTGTTGCTCAGTCTTTGGTTTTCTATGTTGTGTTTTGTGAAATGTTGTTTTTCTGTTTGTCTTTTTCTTTTTTAGCCATGGCGTTGTCAGTTTATTTACGACTTGTGAGATTGAAGGTCCCTTTGGTATCTTTCGCCTCTCTTTTAGGTCTGCAGGGTTGCCGAACTTTAAAGCAGCTCAAGTTAATTAATCTTATTTTGATGGGATTTTTGTTATCCTCTTATGATTTTTCGCTCGAATATCCAACTTTGAAAAGTATTTTGGACGAATGTTCTTTTGATCGACTTTCGTTAATTTTGTACATATATCGAACTTTTCGTCACGTAGTCTCGGATAACGGATTGCTTTCTGTACAGCACTGGTATTAAACCGATAATAGTAAAGTGTGTAACTATCATCCCATGATGAGAAAGTGTGAAAAAAAATGGTTGTAATATTCTGCTCTATATACTTTAATAACCGTTATAATGTACAAATATAAGTAAGCTTGAATTTGTATTATAATTCGGTAGAAATGCCTTTGTTTTAAAGTTGATGAAAAGCAATTTGCTTTATATAGGAAGCCGGGAAACGATTTAGAAAAAAACCCATATATGATAATTGTAACTTCAACCTGACAAAGAACGAATACGATAGATACGGAACACAAGAATAATATATAGTAACTCATAATGTCCTTTTAAAACAAGTGTGGACACAGATCAATGGGGATAGTCATTGTTGTATTACAGTGTTAAATTAAGTGTACATATAAGGAGGTGTGTTATGATTACAAATTAGAAAACTATCCATCCGATACCAAATGTCGTGAATTTCCTCAACTACAGCCACCGTACACCGTTCAACAATGAGCAAATATGGGTATGATTGAGTCATGGTACATTGGGATGTCATAATGTTTTTTGTTGAAAAATGTCAATATGTCAAGTACAGCAGATATTCAAATAGTGATAAGGTCTTTAGATCCATTTGAAAAAAAAAGGTTCAAAGGAATCATAGCAACATATACTGTTTTTGAAAAAGTCAGCAACAAAGATGCTAATCTAAACAAATGCAATTTGTTTATAAATTTAAAGCTGAATCCAAAATTAGGATTTTTGGGAAATTTATATCCCATTTTGGGAATGTATCTGTGGTCCCATTCTGTCAAAAGTGTTTCCTTCTTTTACGAGAATTATATATAATACTAAACTAACCCAGACCCTTAACTTACCATAACTATAAATAAAGTTTAACACTTAACCTTGTTACGTACATTGATATTACAGAGTAAACACCAACTGAACAAGGCTTAACTAACAAGATCAATTATAACACAGGTAGTGTTCGCTTTGATATTGCCTATTGAATCTGTTATTCAGCATAGATATAAGATTATGTAATTGTTGATACGCATCTATGTTTTTATTTATCCCTCCATTAAGCAAATCAGTCGAGCTAGAAACTAAGGGCAGAGAGGCACATTCCCATACAAATGGGGACTTTTTGTGCGGCCAGCATTTTAGAACAGATGCTTCTTTTTCATTGCCAAATATAAATAGCCCCTTTATTCTGAACTTAATACATTAACTTAAGTTACTTCTTACAGAAATATGTGAAGCTTTCAATACCTTATCCAGAAAAAAAAATTGTTAACATGCTCGTTTTCTCAATTGAATTATTTCATATTTTTCATGTCGGGGCCTTTTATAGCCGACCATACGGTATGGGTTTTTCTATTGTTGAACGCCGTTAGTTGCCTATGATTGCTTACATCCACTTTATTTGAACTTTGGTGGATACTTGTCTCATAGGCAATCATACCTAATTTCCTTATTTTTATATCCTTTATCTTTTTTCAAGGGATAGTTAAGACTAGATATATTTAGCCAGCTGTATAGATGTCTTGGATTATAGTAAGCTGGCTGGGGTATCTAGCTTTCTATACAGCAATTTCATAGTCTAAAATGAAAAGTAGTGTAATTAGATATTACGATATCTTAAACAGCAACCTCATTCTTTTAACCAGATAGATCAGTATGTTTATGACCTGCATCATTAGTCTAGTAGGAAATCAAATCAGTGCATCATTCTCATTGAAATTACTATAATCAGCAGTTAAAATGTAAAACAGTGGTCTAAGTAGGAATTTTGTTTCCATCATAATTATTTTCAAAATCATATAATTTAAACCCAGACAAAATAAATTCATTATAGTGATTATCTTGAGAAGTTAAAATGTAAAACAGATTGGTGTATCTTATCAGTTATTTTCTAAAAACAAAACCAATCTTAGGGGAAATAACTCTACATTAAAAAATGAAGACAAACAAGTTTCCAAGATTCGTTCCTGTATAAACAGCTTTTCTACAATCTTATTATACTATATGTACATGCAATGGCTTCTAATTGTTTAAAAAAAAATCACTGGGCCAAAAACGGTATGATGAGCTGTCTTACAATGAGGTCAATGAACAGGTAAGGATTTAATTTACCTGAACTTTAATGTCACTTTTTACAAAAATGCAATCACCAGTCTTTGCTCCTTTCTAATATAATTCACAAACAAAAATGTTCTATGGTCGGGTTGTTGTCTCTTTGACACATTCCCCATTTCCATTCTCAATATTATCATGATTATTTGTACAATTTACTGCTTACCTAAACATTTAAAGTTATCAAATGCAATCAAGCCTTATTTGTTTCAAATTAAAAAAAAGTACTGAAAATGTGTGAAGCCATTCGACATGGTTGGTCAAAAAAACATTGTAGCCATTGGGGTCGAAAAGGTGTTTTTACCGGAAAAAATAGACGCCATTAAGCAAATACTTTCAAGTTACATTGACCTATGAGGCATTTTTCCGCTAATGACCTTGAGTCAACCGAGCCAGTTCATTCATAAAAAGGAAATTGGAAACTCGTCTATGGAAAGGAAAACAAGCCTTATGGCACATTTTTTTTTAAAGTGTAAGGGCAGAGGGGCGCAGCTTCAAGATGACGGGGCAAGGTGGTCTTCTATTTTGGACATACGAGGACACTGCACAAGTTACCCTTTAGTACAGGGTCCCCTGAAGTAAAAGATTTCAAATGTTTTAATACCACATCCAACTTCATGATGGTAGCGAGACATTTCGGCACCGGTCAAAAGACAATTCGGTTAAATTTCGGACATTTCGGGACCAAGGCAGTTCAGCACCACATTTTTTTCTATACAGTTGCTTTTTATTTATGTTAACATGATAAAAAAGGGAAAAAAATATTTGCAATAAAGTCACCTAAATCCAAACTTGTCATTTTGGTCTCTTGTGGAGAGTTGTCTCATTGGCAATCATACCACATCTTCTTATTTTTATATTAATTATGCTTCAAGATATACACATGTAATGAAAACAGAATAAATTGAAAAGTTATGCATTCATTAATGTTTAGTAGTCATTATAAATTTTTCACAATAAAGATCTTTAGTGCACAGCTTTTTAAAATGTCACACTTACATTAAATTTGAACTTTATGTAAGAAGTAAGGGCATGTGACATGTTGTCAAGACCTTGAACATTATCTTAAATCTACAGAAGAAAATGCTTACCTTATATTCCTGGACGTAACAGACATAATGAAAGTTTTAAACTGGGCAGATATACTCATTATATTGCTGTACTTAATTGCAGTGTTAGGAGTTGGAATATGGGTAAGAATTGTAATTGTTAATGAGTAATGTTTTTCTATAAATCAAAATTTTGGCTGCTGGATCCCAATTATTGTCACATTAAAATATTATGTCGGTTTTGGTTGCTCACCCCATTTTGTCAAAATAACGGAACTATAAACAATTGTCATACAAGTGAGCGGTATAGCTAGGTTTAAAACCAGGTTTTACGTACTAATTTCTTCGGAAAATGTCTATACTAAGTCAGGAATATGACATTTATTTTCCACTCGGTTTGATTAAGTCAGTTTTTATTGACGTTCCCCTTTTGGAATTTACATTGGATGTCGGGATTTTCTTATACTTTTTTGTATATATATAACTTTGAATTGATGTTTATATAAATTGAATATATGATAATGAATAGGTATCTTTATTTATGCTTTTTAATGGAACATTTAGATTATGGTTAAACAGTTTTATACAAATAATATTAGTCTGTTTTTTTTCTCATTCTGTATCGTTCATATCAGGAATAATTATTTACCAAACCTAAGCGAAATTGTCTTTCCTGCCTTTGTCAGTAAAAACAATAATACTATAGATATGAAGTGACAATAGGGTCACAATACATATGTTGGTTGATATACTCTAAGGTAATGCGTAACATTATTTTTCTTACTATTATATAGTTCACACATTGTTGTCAATATAATGGAATTTTATGCAACTGTCATACAAGTGAGAGGTTTAAACAGTCTCCGGGACAAGTTTGCAATTCCGCTGAGTAAATAAATGTGGCACTTTAATTTTTATAGGTAGGTCAAAATGAAGTTGATAACATGGTTGGTATTGGTTCCCTGATATTTGTCCTAAAAAGATTGGGCTCTAGCACCACTGTTGAAAAAGTTATGCCCCTTTTTTTACAAATTTCCTCAGAGGAAAAGTTGTTTTCCTCAAGGGAAATCAAATTTCCCTAATGGAAAAAGATTTTTCCTCAAGGGAAATTTTTTCTTCCTCAAAGGAAAAAGATTTCCCTTAGGAAATTTGCTGCATAATTTTTTCCTTTGAGGAAATTCTATTTCCTGTGAGGAAATTTGCTGCCTCAAATCTTCCTTTGGGGAAATTCTTTTTCCTGTGAGGAAATTTTGTCAACTATCATTTCCTTTGAGGAAATTTTTGACGAACATTTTTCCTTGAGGGAAAATTCAAGACAGCAAATTTCCTCTTAGGAAAATATTGATCTCCAAATTTCCTCCATGGAAATTTCTGTATATCAAATTTCCCCTTAGGAAATTTTTTCTCCTATTTTTCCTCTATGGAAATTTCTTAACAATACAAAGTGAAACGGTATGAATATAATTTTTGCTAAACTGAACAAATGATACAAAAGATATTTAAAACTTTAATAAATTTTTGACTGATGAGTAACATGACATACAAAAACAATACAGTCTGACTGTTTAGGTCTAGGTATTGTACTTACTTTATATGATTTTAATTTTGATTCATAAAATATTTTTGTGGCAATTTTTTTTTTTTTTTTTTTCTTTGTTATTGTTTCATTGCAATACATTGATAAGCAACCAATTTGAATATCATACCATTTGTGTTGGTCTTAATATTGTGTTCATATTTGCAGATTAAATAAAATAAACACATTTCATGTTATAATTTAAACTATCTCTGTTTCAGCTGTTGTGTACAATTATTCAATCCATTATGTAAGAGTTCAGTGCATAAATTATTCCATTCACTAGACATTTTCATTCAATTCTTAGAGAAAATATTGTTGCAATTTGTTCTTCAAAGATCTTCCTCTGTATATTTGATATGAGGGAGCGATGTAAATGAGCGGACAAAGCAGGTGTTCATTTCGACAACAAACTACTTTTTTCTACATTTCTCCCTTCTTTCAATGAATATTTATGTTGTTGCATTTACACAATTGTGTTCTTTTGCAACTATGATAGTACTCCATTTTGTTTATAGCCATTTTGTTGAAATTTCCAATTTCTTTTTGCAGGAAAGCACACATTCCATTTCACATTAATCCAATTAGCGCACAATGTAGAAAAATATCAACTTTAAGTTTCCTCTTCAGTATTGACCTGTCGATGATCATGAAAACCAAGATGTCTGACCTATAAATACACAAAATAAAAAAAATGTTATAAATGGAGAAAAAAAACAGCAAAAAAAAGCTTATTTTATCATGAACATTTTGAGAAACTTTCATTGATATTCTTACTTGTGAGTACTCTTATTTCAGTGTTCTTTGTCCACGGTTTAATATTAGTTGTTTTTTGTGTCTTGCAGTGATATTTTTAGTTGAGCCACTTGACAGTTTTTACAGTTCGTTCTTATGTTGTGCTTTTAGAACCACTGTCCCAGGTTAGGGTAAGGTTTAGTGCTCACAGACATGATTTTTTTTATTAATTTTTATTGGCTTTGAACTAGCTGTCAGTAACTGTGAGTACTAACAGATTTGTACTTTGTGTCTTTTCTGTTATAGGGCATGTGCCTGTGCCAAGTCAGGAGCCTGAAATTCAGTGGTTGTGGTTGGTTCATGTCTGTCATATTTGTTTTTTGTAAATTGTTTTATTTTATATAAATTAGGCAGTTAGTTTTATAGTTTGGATTGTTGAAATTTTTTCTTGTTGTGGCCTTTATTGGCTGACTTATAAGGTATGAGTTTTCTCATTATTGAAGGCCGTCATTGACCTATAATTGCTTACATCCACTTCATTGAACTCTGGTGGATAGTTTTCTCATTTACCATACCACATCTTCTTATTTTTATAATAGTCATCATTCAAGGGCAATAACTTTTATAGAAGTGGCCTTACAATTTAGGTCTTGTTGTCTTCTGTAAATCTTGTTTTGCCGATCATTTCTACTGTTTATAATTTCTCTTTATCTTCTATAGTTCTTGCCCTAAACATAAAAAAGGTAAAAAATTATCATTTAATGGCAATAACTACTATGAGTAGACAACTAACAATTTTGGCAATGTTGACTCATATGTAGATCTAGTCTTGCTCATCATTTTTGCTGCTAAATTCTTTTTTACCTATTAAGTTTTTGCCAAAAAAAATAGGTAACAGGCCCGAGAACACAGTTATTACGTTGTGCATTTCTTTTAGACCAAAAAGGCAAATTTAAAAAATTGCATCGGCTCTATCCCAAAGAGAATTTTACAGTGTAGTGTACTACTTTTGGGACAGATCATTTCAAATTTATAGAAAAGTCTATTAGCTATAACTCAAAATATGGACAATTTTTTCGGATGAAATTTCATCCCCTTTCTTACTATTTTATCCATAAAATGTAAAGAAATAAATTTGGAAGGAGTATGAAAATAATTTGCAAGTTATACACTGGCATGACTGTCCACACTAGGGACTCCAATTGTGGACAACGTAATGTTAATTAATTAGAGAGAATAGACAAACAATTATGGAAATTTAAATTGGCTTAGTTTAGTGGGTATTAATGACATAGCTAACAAAAAAAAGCTGAAAAAGAAAAGCAAAAACAAAATTCCTTTTTTGTAATCTATTGTCTGATAGTCTAGAAGTTAGTCAGTTTTGCTCCGAGGCTCCTGAATTTTAGCAGGCACTTAATTCCAATTTTGGAATTCAAGCAAACCATATAGTGTCTTCGATAGTCTTTGAATTTTATCAATGTGATTAAAATACATTAACTCTGCAATTTATAAAATCATAAAATTTTCATAAAACTTTGATGAATTGTTTTTATCTATTGACGTAAGCTCCCTTTCGATTTTTATAGATTTGAGATTTTACAATTTCGAGTTATGGGATTCTATTCATAAAAAAGGAGGAATTTTCCAGTTTTCTGACTGTAACTCAAAAATTCTTTGAGCAATTTCCATGAAACTTTGGTGAATTGTTTATATATATCAACATAATTCCTTTTCAATTTTTAAAAATTTCTGATTTTAGTTTTTTTACTATTGGGACTTTAGACAATAACTCAAAAATGCTTTCACCAATTTTCATGAAACTTTGGTGAATTGTTTTTATCTATTGACGTAAACTCACTTTTCATTTTTATAATTTATTTATTTTTATAATTGCAGAGTTATGGACTGTATTTGTTGAAAAATCATTGAATTTTATTGGTTTAAAAATCAAGGCCACAATCTTATATACACTTGAGATAACCTAAATCGAGCCAAATTATTCATGTTTTGTGTCAACGGATACCACTGTGTGTGCATGTCTTTTTTCGAAGGAGGGGGGGGGGGGGGGTTCCTATTTGAGCAGTGCTCACAGTTTTTCATTAAAATTCATTTAAAGCATAAAGACAAGATAAAAGGGCAACAAGCTTATCATGCACTCATGGCGTAGCTCTTTAGTAAACACGCATTAATATACATTAAACAGCAAAATAATTATTGATGCAAGATTTCATTAAATAATAATTTTCACCCTTTTTATGTGTAGGGCAAGAACTATAGAAGATAAAGAGAAATTAAAAACAGCAGAAATGAAAGGCGAAACATGATTTGCGGAAGCCAACAAAGCCTAAATTGTAAGGCCATTTCTATAAAAGTTATTGCCCTTGAATGATGACTATTATAAGAATAAGAAGATGTGGTATATTAAATGAGAAAACTATCGATCAGACTTCAATGAAAGCAATTATAGGCCAGTGACGGCTTTCAATAATGAGAAAACCCATACCCTATAGTCATAATAGTCAGCTATAAAAGGCCCGAAGATGCAAAATTTGAAACAATCCCAACTATAAAACTAACTGTTTAATTTATAACAAAACAATTTACAAAAAACAAATATGACAGACATGTAACAACAACAACCACTAAAGTTTAGTGTCAGACTAAACTACAGGCTCCAAACTTGGGACAGGCACATTAAGAATATGGCAAGGTTAATATAAAAATAAGAAGATGTGGCATGATTGCCAATGATAAACTCTCCACCAGAGAACAAATGACATAGAAGTTTACAACTATGGTTCACTGTACAGCCTTCAACAAATAAGCAAAACCCATACCACATATAAAGCTATAAAAGGCACTGACATGACAAAAATGTAAAACATACTAAAGCTAACAGCCTGATTTAAGTACAAAACAATAAATGAAAAACAAATATGATATACAGCTACTGAGAAAATAAGCTTTTTTATTGCTGTTTCTCTCTCCGTTTATAACATTTTATTTGTTTATTTTGTGTATTTATAAGTCAGACATCTTGGTTTTCATGATCTTCAACAGGTCAATACTGAAGAGGAAACTTAACGTTGATATTTTTCTACATTGTGCGCTAATTGGATTAATGTGAAATGGAATGTGTGCTTTCCTGCAAAAAGAAATAGGAAATTTCAACATAATCACATGATAATGGCAATAAACAAAATGGAGTTCTATCATAGGTGCACAAAAACACAATTGTGTAAATGCAACAACATAAATATTCGTTGAAAGAAGGGAGAAATGTAGAAAAAATAGTATTTTGTTGTCGAAATGAACACCTGCTTTATCCACTCATTTACATCGCTCCCTCATATCAAATATACAGAGGAAGATCTTTGAAGAACAAATTGCAACAATGTTTTCTCTGAGAATTGAAGGAAAATGTCTAGTGGATGGAATGATTTATGCACTGAACTCTTACATAGTGGAATGAATAATTGAACACAGCAGCTGAAACAGAAGAAAATTTAAATTAACATGAAAAGTGTTTATTTTATTTAATCTGCAAATATGAACACAATATTAGGAACACCACAAATAGTATGATATACATATCGGTTGCTTATTAATGTATTGCAATGAAACAATAACAAACAAAAAACAAAAAACAAAAAACAAAAAACTTTTGCTACAAAAAATATTATATGAATCAAAATTAAAGTCATATAAAGTATGTACAATACCTAGACCTAAACAGTCAGACTGTATTGTTTTTGTATGTCATGTTACTCATCAGTCAAAAATTTATTAAAGTTTTAAATAACTTTTGTATCATTTATTCGGCCAAGCAAAAGTTATATTCATACTGTTTGTATTGTTAAGAAATTTCCATTGAGGAAAAAAAGGGGAAAACATTTCCTTAGGGGAAATTTGATGTACAGAAATTTTCATAGAGGAAATTTGGAGATCAATATTTTCCTTAGAGGAAATTTGCTGTCTTGAATTTTCCCTTAAGGAAAAATGTTTGTCAAAAATTTCCTCAAATGAAATGGTAGTTGACAAAATTTCCTCACAGGAAAAAGAATTTCCTCAAAGGAAAATTTGATGCAGCAAATTTCCTCAAAGGAAAAATTTATGCAGCAAATTTCCAAAGGGAAATCTTTTTCCTTTGAGGAAAAATCTTTTTCCATTAGGGAAATTTGATTTCCGTTGAGGAAAACAACTTTTCTTCTGAGGAAATATGTAAAAATTTGGGCATAACTTTTTCAGCAGTGGTGCTAGAGCCAATTTTTTTTAGGACAAATATCAGGGAACTAATACCAACCAAGTTATCAACTTCATTTTGACTTACCTCCAAAAAATAAGGTGACAACTTTTGCACTCAGCGGAATTGCAAACTTGTCCCGGAGACTGTTTTTAGCTAGCTATAAAACCAGAAACCAGGTTAAATCCATCATTTTCTACATAAGGAAATGTCTGTTTTAAGTCAGGAATATATTTCCCATTCGTTTGATGTGTTTGAGCGTTTGATTTTGCCATTTGATAATGAAATTTCCGTTTTGAATTTTCCTTGAAGTTCGGTTTTTTTGTTATTTTACTTTTTTCTCGTACCTTTAAAGATTATGTACAGCCCAGGAATGGTGTAAACCTCCGAAAAGAACACTTGTCAGGTGTAATGGTTTAAGGTATAATGTTTATGATCCATGGGAAATAGTGTATGGTGCATGAGGAATACTGTATTGTTTTAAATATTAGTTTGTTTTATAAATGATAATATATTGAATTTGAATTTTCCTCAAACGCTTTTCATTGTTGATAATTTCGAATGGTGCAAATCATGTATGATTCATGATCATATGGGTAAGACGAAAGGGGAATGGTGTATGGTGCATGGTGGTATGGGATATGGTATAAGTGGGAAGTTTATGATATTAAACACGTAACCGTAGAGTTGATAATATTTTCTCAGTTTTTATTTGTTGCCTTGATTTGTATCTTTTTGATAGACTTGGGAGCTATGTGTAAGTCACATTACATAAACTGCTTGAAAAAGGTATTAGGTATTGACAACACACTTAGAAACTCAACGTATACCCCAAGACACTGACCAAGGAGAATGATCTTCATAATCATAAGTCTGTATGTGGGCACTTGATCTTTCTTCACTGTACTGTTCGATGCCTAGATTTCACAAGTGACATAACAAACAACGTTATATTGCTTGGTCTTCTAAGTGCTCCTTTCTACATCATTAACATCAATTTCATCAGAAATCGAAAACGGACTTCAGCGTTATCGTGAAAATTCTAGTTGCATGGGGAATCAGATGTGGTTACTAAAACATTCATAACCCATTGGTGGCCTTCGGCTGTTGTCTGCTCTATGGTCGGGTTGTTGTCTCTTTGACACATTCCCCATTTCCATTCTCAATTTTATAAGACATATTAATGTACATACAACTAAAGTATCTCTCCTCTTGAAATAGTGTTAAAACACTTCACTTTTCTACTTTTACACAAGTATTCCAAACTTAAAGAAAAATTGAAAGATTGACCCTGATATCTTTAATAAAAAAGAATAGCCAACGTAGATACAAATATCTTATTTTAGGAAGGGGTAAATCGTACTTTGTGAAAAAACACTTATATCACACACAATAAGTTATCAAAATACTTGATTTCTTGATTGACAACATACGTTTGGAGGACGTGTTTTTCAAAAATACAATCATTATTTCCATTGGAATCAACTGTGTTCCTCTTTTTGCCGACTTTTTGGTTATTTAATGAGGCAGACTTCATACAGGAACTTTCCATTTCTATGTAGAAACATTTCAAAAGCGCCTGGATAAGGAGTATAAATTTCCCAGTTGATACGATATTCGGGAGCTTGCATTTCTTATCATAATTTCCTTGATAAAGAGTTGCTACTTACAAGGAAGCTATTCAACCAAAAGTTTTAAGTGCTGAAATTTAAGTCATCATTTCGTAATTTTTTACAGACGCCATCACGTGTTGGTTGACTGTTATAAAATATCTGTTTCGCAGATGACAACGGAAAGGTTCTACTTTGTCGTAGCCACAATCCCGAGCTCTTTTCCTTGAATGTACTTACCAAATAAGACATCACCGGCTTCGTACTTACATGTTCAACATGACGAGGTGTTACATGTGTAGCAGGATCTGCTTACCTGTCCTGAGCACCTGAGATCAGCCCCGGTTTTAAGTATGGCTCGTGTTGCTGAGTCACATTCATGCTTTCAGTGCTCCAATTTATATTTGTCACCCGAGGTAATACGAAAAACCTTGGTAAAAACGGTAATAAATGTCTTAGAACAACAACTTATATTGTGATTTGATTAAATTGGATAAAGTAAAAACTCCACAATTCAAATTTTAATATCTTCATCTTTGCAGACATTGTTTCGACCAAACAGAGGAAATATCAAGAGCTATTTTTTAGCTGGACGTACTATGCCATGGTTTGCGGTAAATAATTATATGAATTGTAGCCTGATATCTTATATGAAATTAATGTTAATATACTACACATGTAACGTTATACTTGAATTTACAATGTATTGGGTTTTTGCTTATTTAAAAGTCTACTAGGCCAGGGGCTTCAGCACAAATTAGTCAAATTTCAACATTGATTTACTACATTTCTATGACTTGTAAGTCTATATTACCGAGAGGAAAAATGAATATTAAAAACAGTACAAACAGTATACAATATAAGATAGCCGTATACAAACATGTTTTCTATTGGCCGATTAAATATTTTACAAAAGACAAAATATACTTAGTTTACCAGACATAAGATAGTTCCGAATGACTTCTGTTTCTAGGTTGGGGCGTCTTTGTTTGGAAGTAATATAGGAAGTGAACATTTTATTGGTTTGGCTGGAGCTGGAGCAGCATCCGGAATAGCACTTGTACTTTTTGAATGGCTTGTAAGTAGCAAATTACAATTCTTTCAAGGAAATGTACAATAAACTTCAAAATAAAAAGTAAAAGCAAATATAAACTGGTTAATGATTTACAATGGATTTTTGTTTTTAAATTACATATTACTTTGGAATCAAAACTGAAAACTAATACATATTTTGATTTATTTTTTCACATAAAACACGTAAATGAAGATACCATCTTAATATCGATGGAAAAGACAGGTGATTAACATAAATTACATTTAAATCATCATTTATCAACATCTATTGGCGGTCGATATTACGCATAGGTGAATCGGCCTTTTTATGGCTATACAATTCGTAGATAACAATCCAGTGACAGTATTATTATTTACCGTAGCGTAGCCACTGGCAAATATAATGTAAGCAGGTGATCTGAGGCGGCAGCTGAACAATAATAGTAAAAATCTTAGTAAAGAAAAATGTTTTATAAAATTATTTTTAAGCACAAAATTACAATAGTGCTACGCCACTTATTTCACATCTTTGAAAAGTAAAATCTTCCATATCAAATTTGAGGAAAAACCTCAAGTATTGAGTAAAAAAGGAAGTTACACTTTTTAGATTTCGAAAGTCCGAAGAGCTTTTCTGGATTAATTTTCATCAGGTACGCTCACACTTAAACATTTCAAAGCATAACAAATTTTATAAAGATTAGTCAAATTCTTGTAAATGTCAGCTATGCCCGAGGGAATTGGAACCGTAATTTCTTAATCATTTTTAACGTTAATATTTTAAAAATGAAGATTAAAAAACACGTCCGAAATAAACTGAGCTGAAAATACCCTCGGGGACTTGCAGTCCCCCAGCAGTAGTATCCACCAAATGCTCTCAAATATAAAAGCACTTTGTAAACTACGTGCGTTCGAAGCGCTTCTCAGGAACGCTCAAATCTTACATTTGAAAACCTGGGGTGTAAAAATAATTATTTCTTATGCAGCAAAAATACTGCAATCTGATTGGTTAATTACCCCGGTGTAAATAACACCCCACCCTTGTTCAACCCGTAATAAATAAAATTTTGCCAAAAAATTTTTAAAATTTTAATTTTGTCAAAATAAAGAAAAAAAAATAAGATTTCAAAAAAAAAAAATAATAATAAAATGTCAAAAAAAAAAATTAAAAATAAAAAATAAATAAATTTGAGGACAAAAATTGAAAAAAAAATATTTAAAAAAAAATTTTCTGAATTTTCCCAAAAATAAAGAAAAATATGGATTCCACCATTGCAACAAGTGTGTTACGATATTTCTCCACTCGAGACAGTAAAATTTTAATATTTAAAGCGTGAGGCTTGCCGAGCTCTTTAAATATTAAAATTTAACTGTTGAGAGTGGAGAAATATCGTAATACAAGAGTTATAGTGGTGGAATCTGTTTCTCTAATGATTTTTATCCTTCCTTTTCAAAGATTTGCAGAAAATTGTGTTCTTTATGTGTGGCGTCATCAGACATGGTCGCCTTTTTTCATGACGTCACAATCGGGAATTCAGAAGAAATCAAGAAAATTTAACGTCATAATTAAATTTCGACTAATCATTTGCCGAGAACAGATATTTAACTAGTGAGGAGAACAATTTTTCACATTAACGTCATAATTAAATTTCGACTAATCATTTGCCGAGAACAGATATTTAACTAGTGAGGAGAACAATTTTTCACAATCGATTGGGAAATGTGAAAATGTGTGACAAAATTAGAGAAAAAGTATTTGACAATGCGCAGCAACATCGACGTTGAAAAAATGTTACACTGGAAATTTTTCATTACCATTTTTCAATTTTACATCCTGGTTTAAAAATGAGTAAAGGAATTGTTCATAAGAAATAAATTCGTTATCTTGGTGTAATCAGGGGTGTACGGAATTTTACACCGTTGTTGAAAATTCATACACCCATTCAGCTGCGCCTCAGGGTGTATGAATTTTCAACAACGGTGTGAAATTCTGTACACCCCCGATTACACCAAGATAACTAATAATACTCGATGATTAGTGAAATTCAGTAATTATGTTGGACGTAACGAAACAAGGAATATTCACTACGAAGGTACGACTATGTTCTCTCTGGTAATTAGTGAAACACATACATGTATTCTGTGTCATGATGACAGTCGTACAACTTTCGAAGATAGTCTACTGGATGACATGTCACCCTACCCTGACACTTAATTCAGACTTCGAGCAGGCTATTTGTTGCTTTTACTCCTAAATTCCATCATGTGCTTTAGCAGTAAAAATCAATTATAATGCTTTTATTTGGTGTGACCAGGGATCGAACCCACCACATCCCGCATTTGAAGGCGAGCAAATAACCAAGACCGATGCATATAATGTTATTCGTAAGAATCTTTTAAATGATGTTTAGAATGTATTTTATTGTTTTAAACCATTAAACGAATATCAATAAAGCTAGAGGATGATTTCAGGTTACTTTCCAAATAGTAGCTTTAGGGTGGATATTTGTTCCAGTTTATATATCAGCCGGTGTAAGTATTACTTTTGTTATTTTGATAACATGTCGACGTTAAATACAAGTAAAAATTGTTCGTCTATTATCTTATTGTGTCCAAATCCTTGTCGTTTCATGTTTTACCGAGTCTTATATCGTATATGGGTGCTGTATACATGGTGAACTATAATTGTTAACATATTTTTTTTTTTTTTTTTTTTTTTGTACGGCGGATAATTGTTTATTTGCATTCATATCATATCTCATTATTTTTACATAATAGGAGACGCGTGTCAACAGCATCGGTTTCACTCCGTTTTAAATTCATGTAATTATCTCAGCTGTTTCTATTGGCTGGTATTTTTGTTTCAAATGAATTTACGAGTTTAGAATTGGTAAACTGTAACAGTTGTAGCCTCTTGTTTATAGTTGTAATAGTGGTTGATGATTTAAATTAATTACGGTTTGCAATATATTGTTCCATCTTATTCTAGTTATATTGCGAAAAAAGAAATGATATAGGATTGACGTATTATGTTAATACGTTCGTTACATTATATTTGTCCTAAAGCATGGTTTCAATAAAAAAGAAATGATAATTTCGTAACATTTTGTTTTTCATAAAGCATTGGTTTCCTAAATGAGGGTCTGGATGGGGGTCCTTCATTTCTGTATTCTTTAATATTTTAGGCCATTTTTTCTATTCTTTATTCTTTTAGCTCATCATTCTCTGTTCTTTATATTCTAGCACCTCATCATTCTTTTTTTTTTTATTTTTTGGTGCATTTTTCTCTACTCTTTATATTTTTTGCCCATTATTCTCTTTTCTGTAAACCCCCCATCCACACCCTTATAAATATTACTTTTAAATTGGTATCACTAATTAGCGACATGAAGCGTCAAAAATCGACAAAACGTCTAATTAACATGATGATGTGACATGAGGGGCCTCGGTGGCCAAGTGGTCTAAATGGTTCATCTACTGTATCACTGGCCTGTCAACACTTAGGTTGTAAGTTCGAATCCTGCACATTGCAGGTGCGTTCGACTCCAATCTAAATTGACAAGGAATGCCAGTTTTCCTACCAAAGGTCAGTGGTTATCACCGGGCATTCCGGCTTCCTCCACCAATAAAAACTGGCCGCCACGAAATATCCAATAATGCTGAAAGTGACATCAAATGTCAAACACCAAACATCAATCAATCAATCATGTAGCGACAAGAAATCTATTATTTTTTTTTTTTTAAATAATACAGAAAAAACAATTTAAGCGCTTTGCGATATACATGTATTACAGGCCGCTTTCAAGTAGACATTTAGTTTCATCACAATAATCTACAGTTTTCGTGACTTAGTAACGCTAGAAGAATGACAATGATTTTGAATATTAAAAACAATCATATTATGATTGAGTTCTTCTTGATAATATATGGATAAGAGATGTTTAGTGTGCGCCAATTAGACAGCAACCAATTAACATATAAAAAACAAATCAAATCTAAATGTTAATATACGGATTTCAACAATATAAAAATATCTTTACATGTCAATAGGTCAAGCTCTAAGTCACCCGTGAAGGAAAACAGTGAATAGATTTATGAAATGCTATAGATATGACACACGAATGCACAGTAGTCAAAATTCTAGATTTGGGAAGGCGGCCTAACACCGTGTCAGCATAAATGATTAGCATGGAGGGTAATGCATGCATGCTAGGAGAAGATTTCCTTGTTGACGCACCCAGTCCCATTTAGAGTTTATGCAATTCCCGCAGTTTTTGTTTGTTATTTTTATCTTGATTTATTTTTTATTAATCGATCAGTTGATGAGATTTGAACATCGATTACTACATGTACTACTTTTTCCTTATGATTACGCACACATGAATATTATTGCAAAAATGAATTAGGATAGTAAGTAAACAGCAGTTTTTACATAATTATAAAGTAAGGAGATTTGGTATGATTGCCAATAAGACAACTATCCAAATGAGTCTTAATAAGGCTGATATAAGCAACTGCAGTGCACCGTACGGCATTCAACAATGGCAAAAAAAAACCATACCATATAGTCAGCTATTAAAGTCCCCGACATGACAAAATTCAAACGAAAAAAACCTACGACCTGATAAATGACAATACAATTGCAGCAACCGAAAAAACAAACATGACACACTGGTTTGTAAAACTTTTTTCAGAGCATAAAACTATTTACTGGTATACAACATATAAATGTACGCATTTTTCAACAACATGATAAGTGGTATATCCGAATAGTACATTTTCCTCTATCAGTAGTATACTTTTGTGTCGAGTCTTCATAGCTTTATATATATATCAATTGCAAGGATAACTGTTGTGTACAATTTGATGGGTACCGCATCTAGAGAATGAAGCATACAGCATTTTATCTAATACAAAACTATTGTTAATCATATTTCATCTTTCTTGTTATAGTGTTTTCAAAGAAACTTTTCAAACAAGAACATGTAACTTTAATACGTAATTGAATGTACTTGTATTATTTGTGTTTAAAAAATAGTTTTCTACATCAATTTTGCGTCTGTTTGATTTATTTTGCATTGACTTCTTTCGTTTCCACCCGGTTTTATGAATGGGTTTTCAACGTTAAAAGTATGTTTTATTCCACGTAGCAAATAGAAATAGAGGGTCATATTCTATAATCTCCTGTTATTCTAAAAAAAAAATTTAGAAAAAGGGGGTCCTTCAATTCTGTATTCTTTAAATTTTTAGGCATTTTTCTCTATTCTTTATACTTTTTACCCATGATTATTCTCTATTCTTTATATTTTAGCACCTCATCATTCTCTTTGTTTATTTTTTTTGTCCATTTTTATCTATTCTTCATACTTTTTACCCATTGTTCTCTATTATGTAAACCCCCATCCACACCCTTATATTAAGTTTACCTTTTTCATGCTTTAAGGTGTTTACTGTACCGCAGTTCATACAAAAACGACACGGTGGAAAAAGACTAAATACATATCTCAGCTGTATGTCCCTAGTTATGTACATCCTTACAAAATTGTCGGTAAGTTCAGAGGTGACGTTAAGCAAACAACAATCATATATAATTACTTGTTATTCTGTTCTGTTCTGTTCTGTTCTGTTCTGTTCTATTCTGTTCTTATTCCTATTTCTATTTCTATTTCTATTTCTATATTTTATTTTCTATATTCTATTCTATTCTATTCTATTCCTTTTATTTGTTCTAAGCTGTGTTTGGTAGAAGTGAAAAGGGGAAGGGGGTAAAATGGTGCAACAATACATAGTTCATACTGTTTTATTCATTTACAATCGGTATAGATATAAAGGCAAACAGTATAATACAAATCATTAATGTCGGGAGGACAGGAAAAACGAAAGATAAAACAATATAGAGAAAGAAAATCTACATAGCATTATACCCACAAACTTAAGATTGAGCAAAAAGTATCATACTAAAAATATGGAATAAAAACTGGTGCTTCCGAAGAGTAATTTCTTCCGGATAACTTAGTGGCATTAATAAAATCAAGATTACTCGATATACATTTATATAAACAAGACAAATAATATTTAGTTTGGTAAAATTTGCAAAAAGGAGCTTGTCGCATATAATTATTTTTCACATGTGCTTCAGTACATATATGTATGTATATGTTGGGTTTTCTTACAAAACATTCGATTTAAGCATATTGAGCTACCAAAACATCATTTGCAGACGTTTGCAAATATTTGGTGTAAATAGTGCAATAACTAATATATACAAATCATGAAAGTTGATCTTTGAAACCCATGATTTCTCATATTTCAAGTAACTTTGATAAACTATCAAATTGTTATATTATTAGTTACATGGTGTGTTAGTGACCTAATACGATATATATGGGGTCAGTAAATTCCATATATATATCGTATTAGGTTACTAGCACACCGTGTAACGAATTTATCTTACCGACTATCTTCCCATGTGGTATTAAGACTAGCAGCCTTTCAAAGTGATATAAAAGACTTCAATACTTAATTTTAACATATTTAAGAACCTACTTCCATTTGTCTATAGAAAAAACAAATGCCAACAATAACAACGTGTTAGCTTTAAATTTGTTTTATGAATGTATTTCAATCGTTTATTACCAGTTTCTTTGTTTGTTTAAACCTTTCAGATGTCATTTTTGTTTTAAAAGGGAAGTAACCCCTTGCTAACCCAATATGGTTGCTAACCGTATATGGTAACTAACCATGTATTTTTTAGGACACCCTATATGAAATATATATGGTCACCACGTGTAGTCGATTAACCAATCATATCCCCATAAATCTATAGAAGGTAAGATAAACGAGAATACAAGAAGGCATATAATATAGTGCTTTGTTTTAACAGATACATCTGTGAAAAACAATTTTTTTCTAGGTCAGCATATTTGCAGGATCGGTTTTTATAGAACTGTCACTGGGATGGAACACCTACGTATCAATCATTGCATTGTTAGTCATTACAGGATTTTATACAATTTTAGGTAAATTCATATAATCTTTACGTAATTAATAAAGCGTTATGCGAACAACACAGGTAGGCATGGGAAAGTTCAATATTTGTACATCAGAAGCTTAATATCAATATTGATAATATAAAAAGAGCTATCATTTAAAGCGTTGGTCTTTTATCGCCTCTTTTTCACCTTTTAATATCAAAACACATAAAAAATTAGTCAAAACTGCTTGAAAAAGACAAACAGGTCTTTCAAAGGTAATCTTAAAACATCTCATAATCATACCTTAAACAAAAGGTCCAAGACATGCACATGAAACCTTCAGATTTTTCATCTTTCCTATAGAAAAAAAATTAAACCATAGTTGTTTTTTAAAACAAATTACACTGCGCGTTTTTTCTGAAATATATCAATGTGACGATCACTGACAAACTATAACAGATGATACTCGTGAATAAAAACGTTAACTTTACGTGATATACTGTAATATTTTGATATGCTATCCTGAAAATGAATGTGAAAGTTCATGTTACTAGTAATTGTATCGTTTAGGTGGTTTGACAGCGGTGATGTTTACAGACACACTACAATCGTTAATTATGAACATCGGAGCTTGTATTGTTGCTGGAATAGGTAAAACATACATATATTTGTTCCCCTTTTTCTCTTTAAGGATGTTCGCTACTCTGTTTCAAAATAACAAGCTTTTTAAAAGACTGTTTTAAAATGATAGTATATAAATAAAGGAACTAAAAAAGCAGAAAAAATTTTTTTAATGGCAATACATGGATAAAACCAGAGGATTCCGAAAATCTGACAAAACATCAAAAACAAGAGGAGCAAACATCCTTAATCAATCCTCCTAATTATAATCCCCGCAAACAAAATTTAGAGGGTATATAGGAATCACCTTCTCCGTCTGTTTGTCTGTCTTTCTGTCTGTCCGTCCGTCCGTCCCGCTTTGTGTCCGGCGCATAACTTTTGTTTTATTAAACTTAGGTTGATCAAACTTTGACCCCTATTAAAATAAATCCTAATCTAATTCGTGTCCGGCTCATTCATTTTGTACCGTTACACTTTGGTTAAAAAAAACTTGGTGTATATGGTTGCATAAAGGGCTAGGGTGTGTAATATACCAAAGTCAGGTCAATCTGACCTTGACTTTTACCAAGACCCCTATGATAATAAAACCTTGTCTGATTTGTGTCCTGCGCATGTCTTTTGTACCGTAGATGTTAGGTTGACCAAACTTGGTATGCTGATGCATCATTGAATAGGGGTGTCATATATTAAATTCAGGTCACTCTGACTTTGACCTTTGATCCCCTATGATAGTAAATTGTATTATTTGTGTACGATGCACCACTTTTGTACCGTAGCACTTAGATTGATAAAACTGGGACCGTGATGTGTCAAATACCAAAGTCAGTCACTCTAACCTGAACTTGATCCTTAACCTCAATGATAGTTATTTGTGTTCGGGGCGTAACTGTTCTCTGGAGAACTAAGGTTATCTAAACTAAGTCAAACTAAGTGTGAATATGCATAACATTAGTTCATTGTGGCTTTGGACTTTGACCCCCACTAAAATGGATTGACCTTTAATGGTTTAATCCTACAAATCTGACTTATTTGTCTTATGTTGCACGATCGATAATTGAAGTATTTTTCACAAATATGTAATTTATACTTAATTCTAGATTATGGTTTTCCCACTCCCAGGCATGGATGATAGCCATCATAGTAAGAATTTGCACAACTTTCGGATTTTTGTTTTTGTTTTCAGTTATCGTCAACTTCGCGACTAATAAATCTAATGTAGCCGAAACGCGCTTTTGCGTACTAAATTATACGACTGGTGTTTTTACGAGGTTTTTTTTATTATTAAGTGGACAATAAATAAAATTGAGAATGGAAATGGGGAATATGTCAAAGAGACAACAACATGACCAAAGAGCAGACTACAGCCGGAGGCCACCAATGGGTCTTCAACGCAGCGAGAAAATCCCGCACCTGGAGGTGGTCCTCAGCTGGCCCCTAAATAAAACTGTGTACTAGTTCAGTGAAAATGGACGTCACACTAAACTCCAAAACATATAAATGAACTAAAATTAAAAAACATGCAAGACTAACAAAGGCCAGAGGCTCCTGACTTGGGACAGGCGCAAAAATGCGGCGGGGTTAAACATGTTTTGTGAGATCTCAACCCTCCCCCTATACCTCTAGCCAATGTAGAATAAAGAAACACATAGCAATACGCACAGTAAAACTCAGTTTAAAAGAAGTCCGAGTCCGATGTCAGAATAGGTAACAAAAGAAACTAAGCAAAATGATAATGATCAACATAAGTTAACAAAGGACAGTCACTACTAGCAGTTACTGACATGCCAGCTCCAGACCTCAATTAAACTGATTGAAAGATTATGTCTTCATCATATGAAAATCAAGCACAATCCCTCCCGTTAGGGGTTTAGTATCATACCATCATAAAATATACGAGAAGAACATAACCCGTATCATGCCAACAACTGGTTTTAGAATAAATGTGATTATTTCCTATGCAAAGACCCTATGAGTGAATCAATATTAATACCAAAATATGCAATCCTTAATGACTTGACAACAGTATCGTAACTATATCCTTTCCGAATAAGTCTGTTTAAAGGTTTGGTTAGCTTTTGAGGTGATGCCGACATTTTTGTGCTTTGTAGAGAATATTACCATAAAATATTGGATGTGAAATACCTGAACGTATAAGATGTCTGTATGTTGATTTATATTTACGAATGATGTCCTTGTACCGATGATAAAATTTAGAAAAGGTTTTGACTAGTTTGTGATATCGAAAACCATGGTGTAATAATTTTTCAGTAATACAGAGATTTCTTTCGTTGAAATCAAATACGTTGTTACATACACGAACGAATCGAACAAGTTGAGATATATAAACACCATAAGATGGCGACATGGGAACGTCACAAACTTAAAATTGATAATTAACAATAGGAAATGAAAACTCATCTCTTTTATCATAAATTTTGGTTTTAAGCTTCCCGTTAAAGATAAAGATATCAAGATCCAGGAAAGGGCAGTGTTCATTGTTAGTATTAGCTTTATTTAAAGTCAGTTCGGCAGGATAAATCTCTTTAGTGTACATACTGAAGTCGTCATTATTGAGAGCCAATATATCATCTAAATATCTAAAAGTGCTATTAAATTTTTGAATCAAATGTTGTTTCGATGGGTCTTTGCTGATTATAGTCATAAATTGTTACAGTAACTCATAACAATACAGAAACAGGTCCGCAATAAGAGGTGCATAGTTAGTCCCCATGGGAATTCCGATAACCTGACGATATACGGAATCTCCATAGTATCAAAGCAGGTCCAATTGACATAGTTCTTTTGTTTGTTGTTTAACTTACTAAAAAATGACCTAAAAGAGTTTGAACATATATATTCACATTCCGACTTTTTAAATGCCCATTTAATCAGGTTTGTGAATTTCTTCTTAATAAGATTATGAGGCAACATGGTATATAGGGTATATAAGGTAGAAAAATCAAAACTTTGAACAGATCCGAAATAACCAATATAAGTGTCGTACTGACTTTTCTGCTGCGTCTGATGACTTTTAGCGCCTGGTGTAAAACAAGAGAAAGTTCTAGTAAATATAGATGTTTATTTCTTGAAATCAGTAATCAAAGTCTACAGATTTTACACAATAAAATAGCAAGTCTCACTTGATAATAAATTTAGAATTTCACAACTGAACTAAATTAAGGGACATAACTCTATGCAAATTTTAATCAATTAAATAAAACTTGCCCAAACTCTATTTTATCAAGTGAAACAGCTTTACAAAACTTTACGTACAGGTTAATGCATAATACAATATGTTAAATAAACCGAATCGTTTCAACTTAAATGGATACTTAATTTCAAATGTTTTGCATAATTATTTGTTGCTATGGAAACAATAAACTTTTAAAATTAATAAAATCTTTGTCATACTATCTTAATATTTAATCACATAAAATCTAATACCAAATACAATTTATTTATGAATAAATTGGTATGTAAAATAACCTTGCATAATGCTTAAACAGTATTTACTCCTTTTGCAAAATATTAAAATAAAGAATATACCCATGTTGCTAAGCAACAAACATGTACTTCTGACACGAGTTCCGTGTATGTGTGTAATACAATAAATTAACTAAATTCAACTTAGATATAAGTTCTAAAGTCAATTCAAATGTTCAAACAATTTTGTAAACAAACTGAAATCCTGCGGACAAGTGTCGCTTTCCAAAACCTAATTTATGAACTAAATATGCAATCTATATACAAAATATAAAAACACAACTTACAGAATAATGAAGTAGAAAATAAGGTTTCATGTCTTTGTTATTTAGCTTTCGATAAAACTCTATAATCATTGCTTTATCAACAAAAGACATTTCTCCCGGCAAATAAAAATTACAAATTATCTCCCCTGGACATTATAACACTTAAAAGTTACTACGGATACAATGTGAAATATTTCCGGACTTTCAATAAACTTTTGAAAATAACTATTATAAAATTAACTAAATATTTCTAAACATAGAATAGATATATATTAAATAAATTCTTGAAACGTTTATCAATTGTTTACATAAACTAAAAGTGACTCGTCCTAAGCGTAACCAACATAAAAATAATTAATCACAATGGAAACGAAATACAATCTATACAAAACTTTTACAATTAGTTTAAGTGAATTTCTTAAATGAATTTTAACTTTCGTTAGCTTTTCCCAAAAATATAAAGTAATTAAAACTCTTTAATTTAAATAAAACAAAAATACAAAAAAAATAAAATTCAACTTACCTGGTGTAAAACAAGAGAAAGTTCTAGTAAATATAGATGTTTATTTCTTGAAATCAGTAATCAAAGTGACCGTTGAAAACATAAATTGTTTCCATGCGGGCGTGGTCACATGATCACTGATTTCTTAACTTTCTCCTGTTTTCACCAATCAAAAATTACCTTATGAAGCTCCCTTGACCACAACCTATTTTCACTGGTTGGCCAATAATCAAGTCATGGGTGACAGGTGTTATTAACAATTTCACACATGAGTAATAGGAAAAGGTTGTTTAACAAAAGCCTTAATTTACATGTAAGGTACATAATCCAAAGTAAATAATTTAGCGCTTACATGTCTCTTTGTTATCCGTCTTAATTACGTAATCTAAATATTCAAGTTGTATGTCATTCTTCTTTATCAAAAATTAACATTCAAAAAATAATGTAACTTACATAAGGAGAAATTTTAGAAATAAAATAAAATTTTAAACTTCAAAATACTTTAACTCGAATTGTAAAAATTTAATAATTTTCACTTAAGTTTTGGTCTGTTATATTAAAATTTTGTCTTTGGCAATTCATAATTTTACTATAACAACTCTTCCTCAACCTCACTAAGCTTTGTCCCAAAGCTTGAATTTGAAACATCATCTGAACTGATAAAATAAGAATAATGATTATATATATATACATGTACAAAGAATTAAAGTATGATCAACATAATGTAAATTTTCATATAGAGTCAATGTTTATATATCACATTTATGTGAATGTAGTTT